ATCGTTCACCTGCTACACACGAGACGCACAGTCAGGGTTAGTGATCGGAATGATCCAGATTCATGATCCTACTCCATTGATTCATAATTTAATACATGTGATTGTCAGTTTGTGTGAAGTGAAACAGAAAGAAGCGCGCGAGCACACACACACACACACACGGCTTTTAAGTGGCGGTGTCTAGCGAGGACGTTGAGCTGCATCTGTTTGATGGAACATTGAAGACAAATGATAAACTGTTTATTGATCATTTATCAGTTAACACCAATTATTGCTGCAACATCAGTTAAACGTATAATTAATCAGTGTTCTGTGTCGGGTCGTCATGACGACGTGTTTCTATCGCAGCAGATTATTTTCAACTTCGTCTCACTGAGTCAGTTTTTGGTGATTTGCTGGTGCAAAGAAAATAAAACATGTTCAGGACATTAAAATTGTCTGAAAAACATTCATACTCATCAAACCTCTCGTCACTTTGCATATTTGAACACTTCCTGTCTGATGTTGTGCCGAGTCAGCAGACAAATCCTTTTTAGTACTTCTTGTTGATTCGTCGGGATCTCCTCAGACCACGCCTCCTGCGGTTCTGATTGGACATCCATGAGCGCAGGAAGTACGTGTCGGGGCTCCTCCTGCGGTTGACAGTCTGGTTCTCCAGGTCAAACTGTCTCTGCAGCTTCAGGGCGAGGACCCGGTCCTGCCGCTCCTGCTGGATCTGACAGATGTACCGCTCGTCGAAGGCATCCTGGCTGACGGGCCGGCTCCTCTTCATGTCAGTATCGCGATCTGAGTCCAGGTGCTTGGTCTTCTGCTTCCTCTTCTTGCCCCTCCTTGAGGTAGACTGGTTGTGGATGCTACTGTCAGACTCTTTCCTGGGACTCTGCGAGTCCTTTGGCACTAATTTACACGACTGGAAACCAGAGTTCTTGGAGTATGGGGAGAATGATTGTTTTCGACTAAACACCACCCCTGCGCTGCAGGATTCAGGAACAGCGACCGAGGATTCATAGTCTGAACTTCCTCTGAAAGTCGCGTCACTGCTGTAGCGGATCGCAGGGACCCGGATCATCACGGACTGTTTCTGGAAGGTGTCCGTGTCTCCGGCTGGAGGATCAAACAGCAGCCTCCTCTTGTTGGTGGATGTCAGTCCGCCTCCTGCAGCAGACACATGAGTCTTTGTGGCGTCCTCGCCGACGCTGGTCTTGTTATGGCCGTCTGTGATGGGGCTGGTCAGCGTGGCCTTGGAGTTCACTTTAAGGTTCTGCCGATCAAGCTCGATCTGCCTCCACTTCTGCAGCACAGCAGGACTGGCCTCGTAGCTGGTGGATTTCTGAAGGCCGCGGGTCAGATTCCGAGGCGTGGACTTAACAATGGTGGGTTCCAATAGACGACCGTCCGGGAGACGTTTGGGCGGCGTGCACGGCGAGCAGACGATGGGCTTGAAGTGGTTGAGCTCTTCTGAGATGCTGTCGTTGCTCTCAGGGCTGATGGAGCGCTCGGGCTGAGGCAGAGGGAGGACCAGAGGAGTGGAAGATGATGACGATGATGTGACCACAGCTCGCCAGGTGAGCCTCCGGTCAGGGGCAGCGATCGGAGCCGAGACAGAGCGACTATTCTCAGACGAGAGGAGGATCCCCGCCGTGTAGCTGTGACTGATCCCGACCTGACAACAAGAAGAGACAGTTCCAGGTGAGTTCACACAGGACTCACTCAAACGAAACAACAACCCAACACCTGAACGGTGACCTTTCCCCTCACTCATTAAAAACATGATCATGTTTTCATGTTGGCTGGAACTTCAGCTGATCTCCTCAGTTGTTAAAAATCTAATTAATACAATTAAACAACTTGATTAGTTTTGAATTTGATGTTCAATTGATCAACTAATCTCTGCAGCTCCAAGAGTAAATATCTGAAGATTTGATCACAGCGGCTGTAAAACACCTGAGGAACATGAGCGGTTTTAGACCTCAACTAAAGTCTGGACATGTTCCTGACGTGTTCCTCACATGTTCTTGTTATGTTCCCCACATGTTACTGTCGTGTTCCACACATGTTCTGCAGGTTCTGTATGTGAGAACTAATGTCTGAGTCAGTGTCTCTGGACATTTTCTGGATCTTCTCCTGCAGCCTCCTGGTAAAACGTGTGGAACCTTCCCAGTGAGCGAGTTGACGAGGTTTCTAACACGTGACGGACGTGAACACTAGTAGAACACAGATATCTCAGGATGAAGAAGAGGAGCCGTACACGTAGAAGACGAAGACGTCAACTTGGAAAGACGAGGAGGTTCCGGAGCTGGTTGTAATATGTAACTTCACCGCTGGATGTCACTAAATATCTCGCATGACATCTTTAGGGCTCATGTTTAACTTGTGTCCTCAATGTTCCTCACATGTTCCTGTTATTATGAACGGGTCTGACCCAGAAAATCTCCTGCTGCTTCTTCATATGTGAAACACTAACTTCTTCTCAACACCTAAAGGTTGAGGAGGTTCCTTCAGAGGAAAGTCTAGTTGGTTTATGAACATTTAGGATGAGCACACAGCTCATCAGCTGCTCTCAGATCAGGGGTTGTACCTGGTCCATCATGGCCAGCTGAGCGTTGACCTTCAGTTTCCCTCCTCCTACCTCCACCGGGTCGGTGCAGCTTCGACTCCTCTGGGCACCGCTGAGGAACAAATAAAGGTCAGAGCATCAGACCACAGTTTGTTACAGTTGTTAAAGCTGCACCGCCCCCCGGTGGTGCTCCTGATACTTCTATGGTTCTGCTCACCCAGCACCAACGAATGAGGCTTTGGTTTTGCGGACAAAGGCAGAGACGTTCCTGATCCTCCTGATGGGCTCCTCGTTCTCTGAGTCCGACAGTACACCCTACGAACAGAAACCCTTCATGTTTAACTCTTTTAAAAATCGTATCGCTCTCTGTCCAGGACTGAACATGTTAAATATAAGAGTCAGACTCACGATGCTGTCGCGTCGCACTGAGTCGTCTTTACGTCTCCTAAACTCTTCTCTGTCGTCACACAACAGCATCTGAAACACAACATACGACAACTGATGATTCTCATTCAGTCACAGTTCCACGCAGACAATCAACGTCAATCAACGTCAAGATTAGAGTTCAACACACAACCGCACCACGAGCTCTGCTGGAGTTAACTGATCGACAAGGAAACACAACATGAAGCACACAAACCAATCAGAAGAGGTGCGTCAGGTCAGAGGTCATGAACCCTGACACCGTTCGTCCTCGCTCACCTTGTGTTTCCCGCTTGCTCCTGATGAAACGTCAGCTGAAAGAGTGAAGAGAGCAGGACACACAAAGAACTCTGCAAAGACACACACACATCTGTAAGAATAACACAATCTGTGAGAACAACACACACACAAGCATCAACTGTTCTAATAACACACACACATTATCTGTAAGAATAACACAAACACACACACATCTGTGATAAGAACACACAGAGGAGAGGAGATAATACAAATCTTGATTTAAAGCCTAATTATTTTGTGTTGAATTGTTATAATTCTTGATGAACTAAATGAAAACAGTGGATTTAAAGGTCCTCTGTCTTTTATTTTGTGGAACTTATGTTTATTTTGTTAGTTTATTAAACTAAAGCAGAATTTCTTATTTCAAAACGTAATTTAATTTAATTCCAGTTCCTCATACAACTAAATGGATTCTAATCAGTGGTACTGATATTTCATTTCTATGCTACAGGCTCAGAACATCTCAGAGTGAATATTTGTTTAAGGTTTGAGAAAATCGAGACTTTAAATCTAAAAAAAACGTTTTACTCTTTATCCAGATCATTTAAAGAGGAAAAGCATATCAGTGAATCATTTATATTCACGAGTGTAAATTGAAACTGAAGTGAAGAACGTTCATCAGAACCTTCATCAGAACCTTGAGCTGCACATGTCTGGACAAGTTCTCACCACTGATTCATCACCAGATCACTACTTCACCTTCAATCTCTAAATCAAACTAAAGCACGGATCGAATCTTTAAACCGGATTAAAGAACCAGAGCGGATGAGGTGTAACCACAGCCTTGTACTGAACCGGATTACTTGGATCGGACTGTGGAGGCCTCAGTCCGCTGTGAATAAAGTTTCTGAGGAAACTCCAACATGTTGTTGTCTCTGCGGCTCAGGTTCAATCAGACCCGGCGCTGACACAGCGGAACGTCCGCCTCCCTCTCCCCGGTAACACCGACCTCTCCTGCCCGTCCTGCTGCTGCTCTTCTCGGGGTCACTCCTCCTCCGGAGCCGCTCCTCGGTGGCTGGGTGTCTCCGGGCCCGGCAGAGAGGACAGGCCGGGTGTCCGCAGGGCGGGCTGCCCCCGGACGGACCCCCCGCACACGCCGCGCACTTGGTCCCCTCGTCCTCCGGTGGACTCGACCCGGGGCCGCTCCCAGCTCCGGGCCCGGACCGGGACCTGCCGGCGGCGGCGCTGGCCGCGGTCCCGGGCCGTTCAGCGGACCGAGCGGCCGCCATGTTCCTGCTGAGTGTCCTCATTCAGGTCCGCTCACAACAAACCCCGCCCTGCCGCCACCGGAAGTGAGCAGCCCGCCAACCACGGCACAACATGGCGCGAGCCCGCTCTGGTAGAACTTCAAAATAAAACGACTGAATATGATTCATTTGATTCATTGTATGAATGAAAAACAATAATCAAACATAATGAGAGGTCTGTGAAACAAGTGACGAACATCCGGCGGAAACAAACATTGACTTTGGCTGCAGAGATTATTTTGTAAACAATAGCGATATTTGATTATTGAAAGTAACCTATCAAAATAAATGCGTAACTTGTTTCCTGTTCACAGATTTCACAGTAAAACATGAGCTACTTGTCAGAGCATTATAATCGTTATCCATTTCTAGTGTCTAAGACTAGTGAGGATTATAAAACAATATATTAGAGTATGTGGCAGCAGTCTGAGAAAACTGACTGCAACAAATGAACTCTGACAAGTTTGATTGTGAAAGGCTTGTTTCCAGAGGTACATACCGGAAGTACACACTGATATGACAGAAGAAGAAGAAAGATGGCGGTGCAGTGTCAGTGAGGATTCAGGTAAAGCTTCAGTGTAAACAGATTTAAACAGATTTAAACCGGATTAAACGGCTGCAGTTTAATGTCATTTTATTCTTTTTGACTTTATACACATTCATTTTCTGTCCGTTGATATTCAAACACCCCGAAACACTAATATTTTAGTTAGATTAAGTGTAATATTTAATCATGAGACATTTTGTTGATTGATTTGTAAAGTATCAGTTTATCATCTCTATAATTTAATCATTATAATGTTTTTTATTATCTGCACGATATCAGGCCGTTTTTAACTTATGATGATTTATCAAAAGTAATAAGAACTATAACTCATTCATCTGACTCTGATGAAACTACTTTTACAACCTCAGTAGAAACCAGCCGGTGTCAAATTGGTTTGAGATCAGCATCTCACCTGATGTGTTAGTGTTGGATCTGGACTGGTTCCTGGTCTGGTTCCTGGATGCAGGGCGTCAGGCCGGTGGTGGAGGTGGTCCGTCTGGGCCTGGTCGCCTACCAGGAGGCTCTGCGGTTGCAGCAGGTCTACAAGAAGCGGCATGAGTCCGGTCCAGCTCACACACTGTTGCTCTGTCAGCACCCACCAGTTTACACCACTGGGATCCGCCATAAACCCTACCCTGCCCCCCTGCTGGACCAACTCTGCCTTCTGGGGGCAGATGTCCACCGGACCAACAGAGGGGGTCTCATCACCTTCCACGGGCCAGGACAGCTGGTCTGCTACCCCGTCCTGAACCTGGGCAGCTTCAAGAAGGTCTGAGCTGATTGAGTCTGCACTTTAATATCGTTAAATGTGACTTGACACAGTTTGAATCCCTGCTGTGCTCTCAGAGTGTTCGCTGGTACGTCTGCCAGCTGGAGAAAACCATCATCTCCGTCTGCAGCAGGTTTGGTGTTGAAGCGTCAACGTCGCCTCACACTGGAGTTTGGGTTGATGACAACAAAATCTGTGCCGTCGGTATGACAACACTTTCCTCTCATTTAACACATGTAGTTGTAGTTGTACAAAAGTTCATATGTTTGAAATGTTTGATCTGAAAGTGAGTTTACTTTCTATATTACTGTACATCATTAACTATGTGAAGCTTGGGTTGAAGCGATGACGTGATTCTCTGAGAAATGATCCAATCTTTGAGCCTCCTTATCAAAGTCATTAACGTCCTTTCTTGTCATCTTCAGGAATCCACTGTGGTCGATACATCACGTCTCACGGTTTAGCTCTGAACTGTAACACCGACATGTCGTGGTTCAGCCACATCGTACCGTGTGGCATCGAAGGTAAAGGAGTTACGTCGCTGAGCGCTGAGTTGCAGAGAGACGTTAGCGTGGAGGAAACCATCCCTCACCTGCTGGAAGCCTTCAGAGACCAGTTCAACTGTCAGCTGACACACGCACAAACAGAAGAGGAGCAAACTGACCTCACGGGACACGGCTCCCAACTCGTACCTTGAAATGGCCTCAATGGAAAGTTCGGGTCATGATTCAGTGTTAATTAATGATGAATTGTTGGATTCTAATAAATGTTTTTGAATGACTCTTTTTCATGAATCGTTTTTAAAAGGTAAAATTTCACTTTGAAAAAGAGGTTGATAAAAGAAATATAGAAAAAACTTTTATTTTAAAGCCCCTGCAGAGGACAAAGTCTCTTCCTGCAGATTATGAAGTGTTTTAACTTCTAACCCAGAACAGGTGATGCCCTGTTGATCCAGGAACCTAAATATGGATCAGAATAAAGATCAGATCTGATGTGATGGATTAGAACTGACTGCAAATCATCATGTTTGATTTCCACACCTGAGAGATTCATCTGATTCACATCAGGTTGAAGAAATTTGAATATTAACAGTTTGAAATTGACATAATGAACATCAGCAGCAGAACAGGAACAAACCACCTGACAGGTCTTTTTCTGGCTCCTGGTCTGGCTCCTGGTCTGG